ATTGAGCTATAGGATATGAAACAAAAATACACTACAAGGAAATGCAAATAAATAAGAAGATAAAATTCATTGGGTTCAAAGTGGAACTTAAAATTAAGGTCACTTTAACCAAGTTTTTTTATGAGCTCGAAAGAAAGTAAAGAAGATTTATGCTTCTATGTGTCACTAACTCTATCTTATTTCACATTTCTTCCACATCTATATTGTAGTATTATCACTACAAGGAAAAGTAACTTAAGCACCCAATATAACCAATTCACATAGCGTTATTAGAATTTATGTAGGAGTAAGTTTAGATTGTTGTAGTAGTATTGATAGCATAACTAAAGTATTTGCAAATCAAACTAAGAATAAATTTAGTAGACTAGAACATTGTCCTATTTTGGATTCCCATTGTTCCATGTGGGCTCGATAACTCAGACTCAAAAAAATCCATTACTACTCATGCGTATGTATGCTTGCGTAAACAATTAAATTGATGGCACATCCGCACCACCCATCATCTTGCTAAAAGAATTTCTTTGAGATACGTGTCTTGCCTCGAGTTTGTTGATGATGTATCAATTATAATTCAAACATTATCTACTTACCACAAATTCTTATGCATAAGTATATTTAACATCTAAATTTTCATATTTACATTTCCAATACAACCATAAGCTTCTCCAACATGTGTATATTTGTACACCAGATACACATTTACATGAATCTCTAGGAAATTTGATAGACCAAAATGTACAGTGGAGCACAACTAAAGCAGACCCACGACAAAAAAACTAAGGCCCACAGATGGAAGACCAGGGGCTCATAAATGAAAAACCAAATGGTCATTAGCGGAAGACTATGGGTCAGCATCAAAAGATTATTTTTAGTAGTAGAATATTAAAAGACATGTCTGACCAAATGCACCACCACTAAGCCTAGGCGGAAGGCCACCCGAATAAAAGAAAAAAAAAACCTATCAAGCCGAGCGTAGGCATCGACCTGCCTCTCATCATAACCAAACTCAATGGAAGAATTTAACATTGTCAGCTATGTCACAAACGCGCCTAAAACCTCTCATTCAAAGTTTGAGAAATAACCATCACAGAATCACAAGGAGCTTCCTGATAGTACCGCCTCCTCGATGTATATGTGTCGGCTTATGGTGATTCATTATATGCTCAATAGTCTAGCCTTGCTTTGTCAATAAGGGTTTTTATCCATAGATCATTAGTCGACAACCATATAAGTATATCCGTCTGACAGAACCAAACATATCGAATCAAGCTCGCCGACCCAAAGACCATCAGAGACTAGCCGACAATCCTGATTTAGCAAAGGCTAACGAGCATGTCTTGTCAAACCAGGACCGACTAATTTCAACCGCCCAAGTCATGCGGTGGCCAAACTGAAGACCTATACACGTAAAATATCTAATATATCATGAAACACCCATATTAAAATATAACAAATATGTAATTTCATATAATGTACATCCCTCTTCTATAAATACGGGGACCACTGTCTTAAAATAAATTATCGACAATTCAAATTATTGTTCATTATTGCATACTTCGCTCTGTCTCTCTCTAATTTCTTGCGCTCTATTCATTGAACGTGATTCATATCCAACAATATTTATAATGTAATATTTAAATCAAATATAACAACCTTTACTAAAATTTTGGTGTGACCTTGGGAGCCAAGTTAGTAGGTGTCAAAGTTTTGAGAAAAATAAGTTGAATTCTTAATAAGCTTGATGTCTTTTCCCATTACTTTCATTTCATTAAATAATAATCTTACAATCTATTTTAGATATAAAATATGTATAATCTATTTTAGGTAACTTAATAATATATATTCATAATCTAAATATTCAGCTAAAAGAGAAATAAATTGATAAAAATAATGAAAATAAGGAAGCTCATAATTATAGAAAACTCCTAATTTAGTTGTCTGGTTTTTATCCTTCTTGATTGACATCCTCCTCTCAAATTGATGTCGACTGAGCATGAAACATCAATTTGCCAACATGAAACTGATAACACTGCTGGGACCAAAAACCCTCAAGTCGTGAGTGTCGAAGCCGAGAATGTCAAAGCTTGAGAGTGCGGAAGCATGAGAGTGTCGAAGTTAAGAGTGTCGAAGCCGAGAATGTCGAAGCCTGAGAGTGTCGAAGCCAGAGTGTCGAAAGTTTGATCAAGGAAGGAGTGTTGAAGCCGATGCCGAAGCGGACGTAGCGAAGCGTTATAAGCAGTCGAAGATGCCACAGAAGCAGCGATAGCTAGCGAAAGAGATCTGAAGCAAATCAAGTGAACTAGATCGCAAATTGTGGATGAGACTTGAATCACATACGAGATAACAAATGGACAGGATCACAGATCGCAGCTGAAATCAAACGCGGGAGACGGAAGAAGACGAATCGAAGGCGGACGAAGCAGTCGTATCGCACGAAAATCATTAGATTTGTAACTTAAGGCAAAGAAATAGTTTCTCTCTTCCCGCAAGAAGACCGACATGAAGGGAGTCTTGACAGTCCTCCAATAACTACCGGTGGGTAAGACAAAATTTTGGCTCTCATACCATGTCAAAGTTTTGAGAAAAATATGTTGAATTTTGAATAGGCTCGATGTCTTTTCCCTTTGCTTTCATTTCATTAAATAATAATCTTACAATCTATTTTAGGTAAAAATATTTTGTATAATCTATTTTAGGTAATTTAATAATACATATTTCTAATCTAAATATTTAGTTAAACGATAAATAAATCAGAATAAATATATTGGAAATAAAGAATCTCCTAATTATAGAAAACTCTTAATTAGCTGTTCGATTTCCGTCCTTCTTGATTGACAGTAAGCAATTGCATTGTGAGTTGTAAAACCCGTCTGACTCGGATTTAATACCTACGAACACGGATAACACATATGAGAAGCGGTATTCTCAAATATCACTTTTTTTTTAGTAAGGAAAAATAGGTCTTAAAAATGGAAATTACGAATTTTTCTCAACCTGCTAATAGTAAATAATTTTGGAAAGTTTCTAGAAACTCACTTCAAGGCTGATTCGCTGAGTCAAACGGCTATTTTTTCAAAGTACCGAGCATATCGCAGCCGTTCATTTCAGCAATCGACCGTTAGAGAAAAACGGCTATAGACCCGAAACGAAACGAAACGAAACGTCAATCCGATTTCGGACTATGTAACGGGTTTCGGGCGGGATGAGCTTTTCCAAAATTGAGTAAACTAAAGTTGATCATAATGTATAACAATCCAAATTATACCGTCTGAAAATAAAAATTTTCAAGATAAAATTACTTTAATTTGGTTTGATTCCATATTAATTGTCATTTTCGGAGTTAAAACAAATATTTTTTTTCCTGGTTTTTTTATTGTACTCATTTAAGTTTAATATTCTAAATTTTTTATTATTTATAATTTATATAATTATTTACTTAGAGCGTGTATTCAAAGATTCTAGATAATAATTAGTTTTTTAATTATTTTTGGATATGCGAGTTTTAAGGGAACTATTGTTAGTGGATAGATACCAATATGAATCAAGCGTGCACCTTTTATATATATATATATATATAT